CGGCCATTTCCGTTGAAGCGACGTTGAAGCGGCGCGCCGCCGCGCGCCGCCCCGGCCCCGCGAGGGACGGCCCCGCGCGCGCCGCGCAGCCCCCCCCCCGCCGGCGGACGCCGGAGGACGCGCTCGAAACTCGGCGTGCCGACGTACTGGATCGTGATCTGCCAGTCGGGCTGGTTCGCCTCGAAGCGGGTGATGCGCTTCGACATGGCGCCGCCGAAACCCGGGCCGGTGCTGCTAGCGGCGTCCCGCCTCCGAGCGTCGAGGCGAACCAGAAAGGACCAAAGTCCCCCAGTCGTGAGGAAGCAGCCCGCACCAAATGATGGATACTTGAAGGTGTTGAAAGTGACTGAAAGAATTCAAAGCAAAAATGATGTGATGGCGACGTCGGGGCTGCAAAAATCGGCGTCGGCCTTCCTCGGCCAGATCTCCTGCGGCCTGGGCGTCCTCCTCGAGGGCCCGCAGGACGAGCCGCCGCTCCACGACAGCGACGACGAGGGCCTCCGCGACGGCGCCGCGGGCGCCCCGCGGGAGATCGACCTCGCCGGGGCGAGCAGCGACGACGACGCCCTGGCGCGGCCGCCGCTCCGGCGGAGCGGCAGCGACCCGCGGCGCGAGGAGCTCGAGATCGAGGAGCCGGACCTCGCGCCCTTCAACGGCAGCGAATGCGCGGACGTCGACTCGGCCCGTTCCGCGTCCGCCGGATCGGCGCCGTCCGACGGCGACGACGCGCCTCCGCCGCCGCCGCCGCCGCGGCCCGGCGGCTTCTCCGTCGCGCGCCGCGAGTCGCGGCGCACGCGCTCCGACGACAGCCGCGCATCTGACACGTCGCGGTCGCAGTCGCCCGCGCACCTGCCGCGCGCGCGCGACGGGAGCCCGTCGCTGACGCTGCCGCCGCGCGCCCTGCGGACGCCGTCGCCGTCCGCGAACTACGACGCGTCCGTCGAGACGCCCTACGTCGGGGCCGAGGTCACGCCGCCGCCGTCGCCCGGCCGCCCGTCGCCCGGCCGCCCTTCCGCGGCGCCCGAGGCCGCGACCGCGCGGCGCCTCCGGCGGCCGGAGCCCATCCGCGCGGCGCCGCCGTCGGGCGTCGACGTCTTCTTCTGCGGGCCGTCGCCCGACCTGCTCGAGGACGCGCTCGTCGAGGCGCCGCTGTCGCCGCTGTCGCCGCCGGGCGGCGACGGCCGCCACGACGTGAGCCTGTCGCTCGTCGGGCGCGCGCGCGGGCCCGGCGCGCCGCCGCGGGGCACAGGCGCGAGCCGCAGCGCCCTCGTCCGCTCGAAGCGCGGCGCCGCGGCCGCGGCGCCGCCGCCGCTCGCCTACGACTCCGCCGTCCTCGCCGGCGGCGACGGCGCGCCGCGGTCCCGGCTCCACGCGTGGCTCCTCGGCCGGGGCCTCGGCGCCTACTACGACGCGCTCTCGGCGCTGGGCGCGAAGCGCGTCGGCGACCTCGCGCTCCTCACGCCCGAGGACCTCGACGCGCTCGCCATCCCCCTCGAGGACCGCTCCCACTTCCGCATCGAGCTGCGGTAGTAAGGGTCGGGCGTGGCCTTTGTTTGTGTGGGGGGGACGGGCGGTGCGCGCGTGGCGCGGGAGAGAGCAGGGGGGCGGCCTCGCCCGCCGCGAATCCCTCAACTTACCCCCAACGACGCTAGCTGGTCGTTTCGCAAGGGCATGTCCAACTTCATCCACTGGATATTGACGGTTGAGTTGAACCCTCGGGGGACAGACCTAACCGCTTTTTGTCGCGTCCGAAACAGGGATTGTCGAGTACTGTTGCGCCGCGTGCACCCGCGTTCGCAATCGTTGGTGCACCGCACGCTCCTCGAATACCCTCCGCGACCCATAGACAACGTGCGCCAACGCGCGCGTCGCAGGCGGTCGCGCAACGGCGGCCATGAGCTCCGACGACGGGAGCACGCAGCAGTCGGTCGTCAAGGGCGCGTGGAGCGCGGAGGAGGACGCGCTGCTCCTCAAGGCCATCGAGGCCAATGGGACGCGGAAGTGGAGCGTGCTCGCGTCGCACCTGCCCGGCCGGACGGGCAAGCAGTGCCGCGAGCGATGGCACAACCAGCTGAACCCCGACATTAGCAAGTCGCCGTGGACCGAGGACGAGGACCGCGCGTCGCCCGCGTCCCCGCCCCCGGCCCCGGCGCGCGCGCCCCCCCACGCGACCCCGCGCAGGCATCATCATCCGCGAGTACGCCAAGTTCGGCGCGCGGTGGGCGGACATCGCGGCGGTGCTCAGCGGGCGCACGGACAACGCGGTGAAGAACCGGTGGAACTGCTCCATGCGGCGCAAGGTCGAGCAGCTCGTGGCCGAGGACGTCGCCGCGGGCGCCGTGGCGCCCGAGGGCCCCGAGGCCGCGGGCGCGTCCATGCCGCTGCTCCTCGACGAGGACCGCGTCGGCCGCGCCGTCGCGCGCGTCCGCAAGGCCGCGCCGCACGCGCGGAAGCGGTCGCCGAACCCGGGCGCGGGGCCGAAGAAGCGCGTCGCGGCGATCAAGCTCCAGGCGCTGCCGAGCTTCGCGTCGGACTCGACGGCCGCGACGGCCGAGACGTCGAGCCCCGCGCACCAGCCGTGCTTCTGCCGCGCGAGCCGCTGCCTCAAGCTGTCCGTGCCGCCCGCGTCTCCCCTTGTTTTTCTTTCGCAGCTCACGGATTCCCACCCCCCCAGGTACTGCGCGTGCTTCGCCGCGGGCCGCACGTGCTCCGGCTGCTGCTGCACGAACTGCCTCAACGAGCCCGGGAACCCGGAGCGCGACGAGGCCATCGCGGCGGCGCTCCACAAGGACCCGCTCGCGTTCACGCAGAAGAGCGGCCGGGGCTCGTGCGCGTGCAAGCGGAGCCGCTGCCTCAAGCGCTACTGCGAGTGCTTCGAGGCCATGGTCCACTGCAACAGCGACTGCGTCTGCCTCGACTGCGAGAACTACGAGGGCAGCGCCAAGGTCGACTTCTCCGGCGCGACGCCCCGCGACGCGAGCAGGCGCGCCAAGGCCGCGCGCATCTCGCCGACGATCTCCGCGGACGAGGAGCGCCTCATCCGCGTCGCCGCGAGCCACATGTCCGCGCTCCGCCACTCGCCGAGCCCGCCGCCGCCGAGCCGGCGGGCCGGGCTGCCGCCGGGCGCGCCCATGCTGCCCGACCCCCTCGGCGGGCCCGTGGCGACGCCGCGCGACCGCGCCGCGGACCTCCAGCCCGCGCTCCTCCGCGCGGACAGCTTCCACCTCGACACGCTCGCCGCGCTCGCCGCGTCGCCGGCCCAGATCGTCAAGGCCTCGGGCTAGGGCGCGCGCCGAGGCCGCGCCGCCGGGTTGGACCCGGCGGCGCGCGCGGATCCGCCCGACCCGAAAGATCGACGCGAACGCGCGCCGGCGCGACCGGGGCGCCCCGAGAGAAGCTCGGCGCTCGCCCCCGCTAACCGCCGGCGGAACCTAGCTCGAGCTCCTACGGCGGAAGACGAGCCGCTTCGCCGAGCGCCCAGCGGCGTTATCCGGTCCTCGCCGTACCAGTAGCTGCTGGCGTTCTTCAACGCGAAGCCTGCCTGGCGCGAGGACGACGACGCCGAGGGCGGCATGGAGAACGACATGAACGCGATTGCAGGGGTCCCGAGGCTCAGCCCTGGGTAAGAAGCCCGCGGTTCCTCCCGGGCCCCCTACGTTTAGAGACGCGTCAAGGGTAAAAAGCCTGTAAGATTTTGAGCGATTTTGCATTTTGCGATCGGCCGAGGTGAGGAGCGACGCAAGGACGCGCGCGGTCAGAGATGATGGACCCGGAATTGATCAAGAAGAAGCGAGAGTACGAGGCGCGAAAAACCCGTACGAAGCTGGCGCTCAACATATGCACGATTTGCGGGAAGAAGGATGCCCGGCCCTGTAAAGGTTGCGGCACGACGGCCTACTGTTCGACGGACTGCCAACGCATCGACTGGCGCGACCGGGGCCACCGGAAGGTATGTAAAGAGATAGCCGCGCGGGCCGAGGCGCCGACGCCCCCGCCGTCGCCGCCGCGCGAGGTGTTCTACGGCCCCGCGCCGCGGTCGCACGCCGACGAGGTCCGCGCGCGCATCGCGGCGGAGCACGAGGCCGCCCGCGTGCGACGCGAGGCGAACCCGGAGCGGGAGCCGCTCTCTGCGCGGTACGGGTCGCGGTGCCCGATCTGTCTCGAGGAGTGGGACGTGAATGGGAGCACCGTGTTTCGCTCCTGTTGCTGCCGAAAGGTCTGCAAGTCGTGCGAGGATAAGATCGGCACCGGCGCGTGTCCCCTCTGTCGTGTACCGTGCCCAAAGGACAATGCGGAGCAGCTCGCGCAGCTTCGCCGCCACGTGGAGAACGAGGTGCCGGAAGCGATTACGTCTTTGGGAGACGCGTACCATTACGGTCGGTTGGGCCTCGTGAAATCCGAAAAGAAAGCCGCGAAGATTTACCGGCGCGCCGTGGAGCTCGGAGAAGTGGACGCGATCGTTAATCTTGGGCTATTGTACGTGACTGGAAGTGGCGTCAAGCTGGACAAAAAGAAGGCGGAGGAGCTGTTTCGCACGGCCGCAGACCGGGGCGATGCGACCGCGCAAAACAATTTAGGGAATTTACTTTACTCTGAGAAGAACTATGAAGAAGCATTCCAGTACCACGCGCTCGCGGCGGATCAAGGCTGGACCCCTGGAGAGAATAACCTTGGCTGCTGTTACATGTACGGAGAAGGCACGGAAGTCGACCTCGGCAAAGCCAGATACTGGTTCGAGCGCGCCGCTGCCAAGGGCGACAAGAACTCTATCAAGGGCCTCGAGCGCCTCGACGCGCGAGTATAGCCTAATTTACGCCTCGTCGTCGCCCGAGCCCGAGATGCTGCGCTTGCGCGCGGGCGCGTCGTGCTTGGCCTTGGCGTCGTCGTCGCCGCGTTCCTCTCCGCGCCGACCTTCGCGGTCTGGTGCCTGGCGTTCTTCAACGCGAAGCCTGCCTGGCGCGAGGACGACGACGCCGAGGGGGGCATGGAGAACGACATGATGCCAGAGCTAGGCGATGGATTTAGCCCGGGGTGTAAGATTTTGAGCGATTTTGCCATTGCCGCGTTATCAGACGAGCGCTCAGGGCCTTATCACCGGTAGCGGCCGCGGGGGTCGCCGCGGTCGCGGCTCCAGGACCGGGACCGGCTCCGCCGCTTCCGCGGCGGCGACCGCGACCGCGACCGGCGGCGGTCGCCGTAGTCGCCCGGCGACCGCGGCGACCGGCGGCGGTCGCCGAAGTCGCCCGGCGACCGCGACCGCCGGCGGTCGCCGTAGTCGCTCGGCGACCGCGACCGGCGGCGGTCCCGGCGGCGGTCGCCGCTCTCGTCCCGGCGGCGGTCGTCGCCCTCGCGGACGTAAGCGCGGCGCCGCGGCGGGCTCGCGGAGTTGGAGCCGCGGCGCGGCGGCGC